CGACCCCCATCCGAACATTTTTTAATTATATTTTGAGATTATACTCTCACATTGATAACACAATATCAAATTGATATTTGCAGAAAAATGTTACAAAAATTAGTCTCTCCAATTATAATTATACTCCTGAATAAAAATTAATTATTAAAAAACTAAAAATCTATATGTAAAATAATTTTTTAAACGTAAATTTTGTAAAACACTAAAATTAAACAATCTCCAAAAATAATTTAAAGAAACTATGAAATATAAGTAATCTTATTAGTAAATAAAGCGAAATAAAATAAAGCGAAAATTAATCTATCATATATGTTCTATTTTTATTTAATTTGTAAATTCTATTTCATAAATCTACACTCACTGTAATTTGCATAGTTTGTTGAATAGCCAAGCTTTAGATATGTTAAGGATTAAATAGCTAACTTTAACTTAATCTTAAACCAATAGAATAATTTAATCTTAAACCAATATCTTAACTTAACCTTGACCCAATAGAACTACTATATACATCTACACCTTAATTTATTCAAAAAAAAAAAAAACATAACTTTAAAAATGTTGTCATCTTACTAATATTTTTATAACAGGTAATATTTATAAAAAGTAATAGAAATAAATTATTTTCATATTTTGAACATGCTATCTTTTTCATGAAGGTTTATATGAAAATACCTTGAAATGATATAAATAAAGTCTAAAAAAATATATTAATTAATTTGAATATCTATACCTACCCCAACCCAAACTCTCAGTCGATGTAGCATTCCTTTGCATGTTATACATAAATTAGTCAATCTAGCAGCACTCTCCTACATCTCTCCAAAATCAGTTATATATCTGGTCTTCGTTTTTTTTGAAAAATCAAATCTCATTTTGAGTCATAGTATTACCTGGTTTCTTAACTCGATATTTCAGCGTAGACTGAACCAAACGTAAAAATTCTTCAGTCTACACGACATTTAGTTTTTATAGTCGCGCGAACAATTCGCGCTGAAAGATTTTTGGCCAAATTAATGCCACGAAGCGAATTCCAAAGAACTGATGATCGAGGAAAAAAATTGAATAAAAATTTTTGGAGCACTTAAAAAAGAATAAACATCATTACCCCAGACAGATGGCAACAGTATTCCAACATGACATACAGATGGCAACAGTATTCCAACATGACATACAGATGGCAACAGTACTCCAACAATACATACAGATGGCAACAGTATTCCAACATGACATACAGATGGCAACAGTATTCCAACATGACATACAGATGGCAACAGTATTCCAACATGACATATAGATGGCAACAGTATTCCATACAAAGGCGAATTTGAGATTTTTTGAGATAAAGAATAGAATCCCGAGAAAGAAAGTGTTGGACACGATAAAGTTCAACAGATGAGGTGAACCTTAACTCAGATAAAACTCAATTTTTTTGAGTTTGAAAGGTTGTCACTTCTACTACAGCATGGGGCTGATAGCCCCATGGTGTAGCAGAAGATATTGATGAGAGGTTCTAAGCTAACAATTCAACTTTGTCTTCAGGTAAGGTGAAAAAATCTGAACCATACAAGAGAGGTAAAATTATAGATTTTCCCTTATTTATGATACTGTTAAAGATTCGTCAGAAGTCACAAGAGTCTAATTTTTGTGATGAAATACAAAATTTCATGACCTGAGAATAGCGGGCTTTGGCGTTAGACAAAATCTTATTACAATGATTTCTAGCATTAGTAAACAGACGTCTGTTTTCTGGACTTTTTAAATTATTTTGCTAATAGATATGGAAGTAACGGTTTCATGTTAAAATTACAGCAGCACAATGTGAGGAAAACCATGGAGAAGAGTGAGGTTTGACCTGGCGTAGTTGAGAGGAAATAAAAGATTCCATGCCAGCCTGAATCCGTGAAGTTATGTAAAAAGCTCATTTTTCAGCAGGGCTATCACAAAAAAAATCACGGAAAGAGTCCCAGTCAGCATTAATGTAAGATATTGTAAGACGTACGATGATAGGGGGATTCTGATGATGAAGAAAAATGAGATAATAGTTTTAGAGAGATCAAACCGTGATCAGAATCACCTAAGGGTGAATATGAAGAAACTGAGCACTGACTAGGATCAGAAACTGTCTGAAAAGCGAGATGATAAGTTGACTATTTGAGTTAAAGATTGAGAAAGGAAAAAATTGTGGCCCTTAATGCTTGCAGAATCATTGACACTAAAGTCAAATCATTCAGTGTGATGAGCATTAAAGTTACCAGCAACAACAATATTAGCTGATAGATAGTGAAAAAGGGTTTAGTCAATTTGATCAGAAATAACATCAAAAAGGGTGCAGTATTGAGTTGAAGGAAAGTAATATAGAACAAAGAGAAAGACGATAGAATGAAATGGTGCTAAACGAAAGCACATAAAAACGGGTGAATTCTCGCGAATGTTAATGCCCAGGCCAAATATGTGACTATTCAATTCTTTACGAATTAAGGGAAGATAACTATGAACACTAAGATCACAAAATAAGCCAAAACTTAAATTAGTCTGACAAAGAGCAATTAGGTCTTGCGAACTTTTCAAAAAATAAGACTTATTAGAAGGAAAATTATCTCAAAGACCACGAATATTAGTGAATGATAAGTTTAGAAAACTTGGCGATGACGATGATTTTTTGTTTTTTATAGTTTTAGGAACTTTGGTCATTTTTAAATTTGTTCAAAAACTTGATTCAAAGTACTAAGTACACTATTTAATAATCAATGAAATTATCTCATTACTACTAATAAACCCTTATTCGTAAGGACTCTAAATGTAGCCTCGACAATGCACATCAAAAGTAAGAACAAGAACACCACCCATGCGCAACATGGCAGTTTTAGCACTTTGATATACAGCTGTTGATGGAATCAGCTTCTTTGATGTTGCTACTACAGAGTTTTGGAAACCCGACGACCAGCCGGCTTCAGAAGCATAAAACTGAGTTTTAGAGCAGTATCCTCATTAGGAGGCATTAGAATGAGTTGCCAAGTCTTGGAAACAGAGGCGCAAGCAAAACTTATGCAACGAGTCAAGAAGATCCAGCATTCAACATCCTAAACTGGTAACAGTATATTAAAAATACATCTATACCAGCCTAATAGATGAAGAAGGGGTTGAGAATGGTCAACAGATAGAATCTGTTTACCCTTTAAGTCTTTAACAAAAAAGTAGCCGGATGCATTTAACGTCTGTTCAAGATAAGCATCTTTATCGAGGCACCATCTCTAGCCTTTACTCAACCAGGAGCCCCAAGACAGGGGGTGTTTTAAACCGGAGTTAGCTTCTCCTACCTTTGCTTAAAAGAAGCGTATCCTACAAGGCAGCAGAAAATGAAGCAGGTTGTGTCATTATGTTATAAACATACCAAAGTTAATGAAACTCATAAAATACAACATACTAACAATTTTAGGTTGTAAATCATTATTAACGTACATATCAGAAATGTAATTGTTATTTTGCCCCATCCTATCCAAGTTTTTTAATTCTGTTTTTAAAGTCATTTTGTTACTAAGTTAAAGCATTTGTTGGCTAATTAGTTAATAAAATAAATTAAGAAATCATAAAATATATATATATTTTTTAACTTATAAAATATAAAATGTTATCAAAATAGTACAACGGTACCGTGATGTGAAAAAAAAATTTAAAGCAACTGTAACGTGTTATTATGAGAAAATTCTAATCAACAGTTCCAGGAATTTAAATATCTACCAATCACTGCCGTGACTTGATAAATTAACCAATTAAACGTCACTACCGTGACTTTAAGAAGAGAAGTTAAAGCAACGGTACAGTTGCGCGGACAACAGCGTAGTTTTAAATAACTGCGTGTTATAATAACTAACGAAAATTTCCTTTTGTTTTAGATAAATCGACGAAGAACGAAACCACTTCGAAAAGTGTAAACTTCTAAATTATTTTAAAAACGGGAGTCTGCATTATTCAAAATATATGAGGCGCCCAACCTTTAAATATATAGCAACTCATTGTGCCATGTATTCTGAAAATAATTAAACAAATTTAAATAATAAAATATAAAGCAGTTGAAACTTTAAAAGCATTTTATTTTTATTTTAAATAACTTTGATAATATTATTGATGTTAATAAAAATCTAATACGATAACATCTAGGTATAACAAAAACTTGTTGGCGACTATTTTAAGAAGTATAAACAAAAGTCTGTCGCAATGACAAAATATTTTGCGCCAATAAAAGACTTAAAAAAAAAATGTCTGTCACTAATAAAAGATAAAATAAATAAAATATTATTTTAGTAATCAATAAATATTGTTTAACTTAACTGTTTTTACACAAAAAAAATAAAAATAAAAATTCACAAAAAACAAAAAAAAAAAAAAAAACTCGATATTTTGAGACTTCTTTTCCTCTCGCCATTAATCTCGCACTTACAATTTTTTCGCCGTTAATATCGCGCTTACAATTTTATCGCCATACAATACCTTAATCGTTCATAAAAAATTCGTTTATTGTGCTTGGTTTTATTGTACCTTGAAAGTTTTTGTTTGAACATATTTTATGCGGTATTAAATGAATCAAGGATGCCTGTAGGCACTTTTAAAGTTTTAGAGATAACTTACTTTTTTTCATAATAAGTAAAGAAAATATAAGACACATTCACACACTTATCGTATGTATGTGGGCAAAAAAGGTTATAATTCTTTGTATTTTTTTTAACGCAACGGAAAAATATTTTAGAGCAAAAAAAAAAAAAAAAAAAAAAAAAAAAACACTATTAAAGCAAATCCCATAATTTACGCAACGTTAAATTTGAATTCATTAAAGAAAATCAAAAAGATCTTTTAAACTCAGTCTTCATATTAACCAAAAAGTAAAATAGCGCTTTAACTTTAATGAAAATCGCCGGGTAAAAAAGCAAATGATATTCAATTTGATTTTCGGAATAAATTTTGCATTACGTAATTTACGGAAGATCCTTAAGCAAAAGTACAAATGCAAAGAAATCCATTACAATTTTTTAAAATAAATAGTTAAACTGAAAGATAAATCTCTCCTGAGTTATCTAAATTGAGATTTATAGGCGTAATTTTTAGTCGGAACTCCAAGAACATTCCAACTTGTACCATATTCTTTTTGATGTGAATTGTTGTTAGATACAATATAATTTCCATCAGAATTCACGTATCTAAAACAAAATAGTCAAAATTTTGATCTTTTAAAGATAGTTGAACTTAAAAAGTAAAAAATTTACTTGTTTTTTTTGACTTGATTAATTTCCGGAGAATCCACTGATGTTACACTAAGAAAAGCAGAATGCTCATCGCGAATGCCGTGCGACATGACTTTAGTCTCGAGTGAAGCACTTTTATTTCTAACTTGTTTAGGATTTCTAAGTCCAGCTTCATTTTCTCCAAAAGAATGACGACTAAATACCCTAAATATGGAATATTGTATTTCAAATATAATAAACAACTGTTTCTAATAAAAAAATATAATAAACAACTGTTGCTAATAAAAAAATATAATAAACAACTGTTGCTAATAAAAAAACTTAAAACTAATATAAGAAAATCTAAAGAGTTTAAACTTGCCCAGGTCGAAAAATATCTTTATGAATATTTATTTTATTTGTATAAAAATCCGTATTTGTTTTTGGAATGACAGAATCGCTATTTTGATACAAAAACTTCTTTGTTTGTGCACCTTTTGTCTGCGAACTAGAATCATGTATAAATGATAACGAAGCTGCTGATTGTTGCTGCATATCTAAATAAAAAACATATACAATAATAATATACAATATACAATAATATATATATATATATATATACAATATACAATAATGAAATTTTTTTTTATTATTTTGATTACATGATTTTAACATACTTTTATATAAACTTCTAATTAGTTGATTTCTTCAATTTTAAAATTTTTGATGAATTGATAATATTTTCATCATTTTCGGATATAGTATAAATTTGCCAGAACCCTTATACTCATGGTGATCAACAACAACAAAAATCGAGATTAAGTAAAATTTATTATAAAAACATAAATTATTACGACATTTGTAGTGGCGAATCAAAACATATTGTATTTGTCCAATGAAAAAATTAATTTTGTGGATATACATCTACTTTTTTTATGACCATTATTTAGCGATAGAGTTAGATAGTGGAGATAAAAAAAGGTGTGTATAAACTTGTATTTGTATTTATTCGGTTATCAATAATCATTATTTACAAATTTAATAAGATCGCGCACAATAAAAACAGTTCACGGTAACGAATTTGTTGAAAATACATATCCTAATTATTAACGTAGAGAGTCAGATAAAGAGCCCTCTTTTTTGACAACAATTGCAATTGCAGCTGTGCCAGCCAAGTTGCATGATTAGGTTGTAATATTCAACTTTTGAGCGATGGCGCGCTAACTGTGGTAGTTTATAAGGAATTCCAGTTTTTAACTACTCGACTAGTGATGAAATTACGTCATTCATCATATTTTTACAAGGGCTAATTCAAAAGTGTGGCTCTTTGTTCTTAAACTATACTTGGGTCCTCAATAAACTGGTGTGATTTCTGGCGCCGCAAAATTGATAGAATCAATTCCAATTATTTTGGAATTTATTAAAACTATTTTGTAATGCTGTATAAGATCAATACGCGACAAATTTCAAGAGTAGAGGAGACTGGTACTGAATGGACCACAAAATTCGACTTTTTTATAAAAAAAATATTTTCCCATATTGTCAAAAACTATGGCGGATATTTTAATTCAGAAGTCAAAATTAATACCTTAACTAACAATCCTTAAAAGTTGTAAACCATTGCGCTAACAGAATATAGGTAAAATGTGCGATGAATGTGACCCGTACCAATTTATTTAGTGATCCATTCAGTACTGTTCATTGTACTGAATGGACCCACAAAATAATTCTATTTTTTTATAAAAAAGATCAATATCTCTATCGTTAATAACTATAGCCGTTATATTAATTCGGAACACAAGTTTAATATCTTAACTAACTATCCTTGTATATTGTATATTATATTGAAAGTTGTAAACCATTGCGCATAGCAAGTTACTTTATGTAAAGCAATTAGGGTGATCAATGGAGTATAAAAACAAGAAAGAAGATGTTGAGACATTATTGTTATTTCTGAATTAATTAATACAACTTTAGACCGAAGTCTCGATCAGATAGTCAAATTACAATAATCACAAACATATTGGCTGGCATTATCTGCACTTGTACAAGCTTTATGTGCCCAACTCGCACACTGTCTGCAACAGCACCACACTTCGTTGACCGATTTCTTCACATCTAGCACACAAATCGTAATTTGATGTAATACCTCCACAAAAGTTTAAACTATCTTTGACACCATTATCATTTCTTTCAACAAGAATATCATCAGCCTCATCATTATTATACGCCATTAATGGAAACTTTAGAGTTTTTGAGTTACTTGATTTCTTTCTTGGTTTCCTTTGACGTTTATTTTTAGCATCTTTTTGTTTTTCAGAAAAGTTTTGTTTTTTTAAATTTTGCTGAAGTTGTTGATTTCGAAGAGCCTCTTTAATTTTTGCAAGCACCTTTAGATTTTTCTAAACGAGCTTTTGCAGAAGGATAAGGGCGTATACTTTCCACATTCAGGGTATTGCTCACATTTTTGTTGACCTTAACATTTCTATTTATTTCTACTGAAATTGGATTGATGTTGAGTGCTTCAGGATTAGGTCTATTAATTTCTACTGAAACTGGATTGATGTTGATTGTTTCAGGATTAAGTCTGTTTGTAACCTGAGATTTAAAAAAATCCTCATCCTTCCATTCATCAGGTTGAAATTGACTTATTCCAGATACTGAAAAACCACTAATGATGTTAACTGGCATTGATACTTTTACCCAAGCCTTTATATATATATATATATATATATATATATATATATATATATATATATATATATATATATATATATATATATATATATATATATATATATATATATATATATATATATATATATATTAGGGCCCTGCGAAGCTTCGAAATTTCAAATCGAATTGAAACAAAAATATGACTTGAGATACGATTCGAAAATCTTAAAAAATTCGAATCCTTACTTATTTTGTTTTTGTTGTGGGTATTTTAGATATTCTGCGCTATCAAAATAACGTTACTTATCCTTAAATACCTTTTGAATCAATCATTAAAAAGGTTAACCAGGGCAAGAAGCATCAATAAAGAGATTATACAATTGTTTTTTTTTGTTTTTGTTTTTTTGAAATATATTATTAAATAAAATATGCTTAAATTTAGACTTCAAAATGTTGATTCGAAACATGATTCGAATTGCGAATCAAGACCTGCTTTGATTCGAGATTTGATTCGAAACAAAAACTGCTGATTCGCAGGGCCCTAATATATATATATATATATATATATATATATATATATATATATATATATATATATATATATATATATATATATATATATATATATATATATACATATACTATATATACTATATATACTATATATATATATATATATATACATATACTATATATACTATATATACTATATATACTATATATAATACTATATATGTATGTATGTATATATATATAATGATAACGTCACATCATTACAATCTTTTCATAAAACTTCTTTTTTAAAACTGATATAAAAAAAGAAGGAAAATTTTTTTATTATGGTCAACAAACTTTAGTAATTTAAATATAACAAGTAATTTACAAAAATTTATTCTTGCTTTTATTAGATATTACTCGATTTTTTGCATTGTAAAAACTACTGAACATGGTAACTGTCATTGTTTTTAAAAACGCATAAATAACATTTCAGATCTAGCATATAGCTTATCTAGCATATTAAATGCCATATAACATATCTACCATATAACATTTATTATATATAGTATATATAACAAATGTTATATGCTAGATGTTATATAAGTTGTAACAACTTATTTATAAATCGTAATAATATTACGACATATTCAGTTATTGAAATAATGAAATAAACTACAAATTAACAATTATTAATTAAATTAGTCAGCAATTAGTCTGCTTAACTTAAAATATAATTTTATCTGCTTACCTTAATATTATATTGAATAATAGAACTTGAGCCCTTAAGTCTTCGTTAACAAAAGTTTATTAGATATTTTGGTTTATTTCCTAATTCATATTTCCTTAGTTCATTTAGATGAAAAAACTCATGTATTTTATTTTAGTAAGTAACATACCGAAGTCCGATAAATACTTCGCAGAAAAATGAACCGGCCCATTCAGTACAACCAATGGTGGTTCATCCAGTACACTAACCAAAATGTACATGTTACCCATATAATCACAGCAATCAGTAAACATTCATTCTAATGTTATACAAAGTATAAAATATGTATCTACAATATTATTATTAATCATAGTTAACATTACCTTAAAAATCTAGTGTAAATTAAAACAAATTAAAAAGATAAAAATTTACTTTTTTCTCAAAAAAAAAAAACAAAAAATACAAATATTAATGCATTATTATGAATAAAGTAAAGCAAAAATATTAAAGAAACTTTGACTATACAAAAATTATATGCAATTAAAAAAAATCAATTAAGAGCTTGTTAAGTTTTTATTTTTCTAATGGTCCATTCAGTACAAGGTCCATTCAGTACCACTCTCCCCTACTCAAAATTAAGCCGTGTTGAATGTTCCTCGTATTTTAGGTGATTTATTGACTTAATCCATTTTGTGGTTCGATGCTGAACTTTTTTCAATCATATTTATATTTCCTATGCAATGAGAAGACCACGCTGGGACTGCAAATTCTAATAATAGTCGAATATAAGTAGAATACAGGAAATGCCAAAGAGTTAAACCACGAGTTCTAAATTCTTTTTTAAATTTTCCACGAACTTTATTTCCAACAGCAGCTTCGCGCTCAGCTTATAACTTCACTTTAAGGTGATTGGATACTGTAACCCCCAAATCTGATTCTTTTGTTGTGGTTTTGAGTTGCTTGCGATGACCATTTTGTGATTTCATTGTATATAAATGATATGGCTTATTTGTTTTGTTTTTTTACTCATGTACATAACTTTGCATTTTTCATGTTAACATAGATGAGTATTTGACTTTATGAAAATCCCGGAAATTTATTTCTATGAAAATCCCGGACAATTATTTTATTAAAAAATGATCGTATTAGACAAAAAAACTCTCGTAAACTTTTATAACAGAATTTAGATTATTTAACTTTTTACAAAAAGGAATTTTGTAAAAAGATAATATGAATGAATTAAAAAGCAAATAAAAAAAAAAAAAAGCAAAAAAATTGTTACAAAAATTTATCTCGTGAAAATTTTAATTATAAAAAACATATTTGTTTAAATGCAAAAGCTGTCGCATTTAAAATTTTGTGTAAAAATACATATTTTTTTCAAATTAAAAACAAAAAACATCCAGAAAATTCTGGAAAATTAAAGGAGTTTTGAATGAATTTCCCGGAAATGATTTCCCGGAAAAAACTAATTTATAATAAAAATTAACTAAAGTTAAATGGCATGAGCCATTTTTTAGACCAGTTAACAGCTGTGCCAAAATCTTTTTGAAGACATAGTGCATCTTTATCAGCCTTGATAACACCTATGAGTTTGCTGTTGTCTATATGTATCTTTTTATGACTCAAAATAAACTGAAGAAAAAAAATGTTTTAGGCAAGCGATAGCGTAGCGAGGCCCTTAAACTACTTCTTTGCTACCAAACCCCCTCCCCCTCCCTTCCCTTACACTGAGAAAAATTATACGTGAATACAAAAACCTTATTTTTAAATACAACTTTGATTTAATTAAATATAAACCAGTATGTTACACTATGCAAGTCTAGTAAGTAGAAAATCTAATAAAAGTTTTTTTTTTGTCTTTATGAAAACCTTTCAATTAAGCTATTTCTACAGATATTTTTTTTTGTTTTTAATGTTGTTTTAATTGTCTGCATATATATTTTAATGTTGTTTTAAAGGTCTAGTGCAGACAATTTTGTCTGCACTAGACCTACTGAAGTAGGTCTAGTGCAGACAAAATTGTTGTCCTTAGATGTGTTTTAATGTGCTTAAGGATCATTTTGCAGTTACAACGCTAATAGTCAAATATACATTAGTGCTGCTATTATTTGTAAATCAGCAACATATATCATAAAATGTTATTGTGGAGACGGGTAAAATGCAAATATGCGGAAATTTTTAATCTGTAAAGTGCGGAAAATTGCTGCCCCAACCAAAACAACTAGTCAATGATGGTAAATTAAATCTTCTAAGTCTTCACCAGTATTAAAGATGTCTTAAGCTGAAAGTCCATTTTGTTGCTTTGCATTGAATAGATTCAACCAAAATTTTATCAGTTTTTAAATAACAAGCCCAAATATACACTGTATAGTTATGGTTTATATAACTTGAGAACCATATTTTAATCAATGAAAGTGAATGTCTTTTTGCATACCAAGAATTTGTAAGGACTTAGAGACGACTGTTCGAAAATGTGTGCTCCACTTAGCGTTACATGAAATAATGACTCCTAAATTACGCATTTTAGTAGAGCTTTTTAGGAATTGATTTATTATACCTTTTTATCTTGTTTCCCATTTATTCCAAAATATCTTAATCTTAACATAAGCCTGTTTGAGGTAGAGAATAAACGCTATGGCAAAATTGAGAATACATCAATAAACTGGTCAAATGCTATAGAAAATGAAACAATGTTAAAAGTCTCTATTAGATTAACCATAATTTATGCTGAAGAAAACCATGTTGATTTGAAGAGAGCATTTTATTATCGTCAATGTGCTTGAAGATTTTGTTCTTAACAAGTATTTTGGCTACTTTGCAGGCAACAAAGTTTAGTGAAATAGATCAACAGCTTTTAGCAAATTTATCTTCGCGTTTCTTTTAGACCGCGCTAAAATTTGCTAATTTCTAGAGAGTGAGTAGAATTCCAGAGTTAAAGAATTTATGAAAAATTTTTGTAAATGGAAAAAATCTTTATAGGGGTTTAGATTGGTAAGTAAATAATGTCTGAAATCCAAGTTGTCATTATAAGTTCATTCAGGTTAGTATCACTTTTTAACGATGGAAATTATTCAGATGTTAATATTATTTTTTTTTTTATGTGCTCTTTTTGATTTTAATATTTCAACTTTTACAGAATGATTAAGAAGATAGCAGTTTATTTTAAGTTTATTATTCTTCCATTTAGTTGAACAGTTTACCAAGCAGATTTTTTTGCTCGGATTAAATTTTTAATATGTGGATCATAACCCAAGGATCATACTTTTTCTTTATTTATGAAACTTACGGATAAAATATTCGCAAACAGTACAATTCTTAGAAATTAAAAAGTTAAACAATTGTTCTGCGGTTTTAAGCGGAAATAAAATATTCCAATTGATTGATGCAATAAAGTGTTATATTGAATCATAATCACCTTTGCAGTAACTAAACAACTAAGATTCACTTTCGGAAAACGGTTTGAAACTAAAATTCCTCAAGTGATACTAAAGCAGCCCTCAGTATTATTACCTAATATAGCATTAGGAAACAATTTTAAAATAGAATTACTACTGTAGGTAAATAACAAGTCCAACATATGGTTTGAGTAGCCATAGGGTATCTGGACATAGGAAATGTGATATGTTAAAATTACTGACAATGAAGCAGTCATCATAGAGCTTTGTAATTAAGCTTTGAGCTAACTTGAAGGATTCAACAATATATTTTACTAAATTAGCATCATTTAGCCTATGTATAACCTAGACAAGTATGTGTTAATTGTTATTTTTTACAGATACCAAAACTTGTTTGAGAAAAGTTTAATAAAACTAATTAACTTCATGAGAGATAAATATATCAGTAATGAAGATAGCTACACTGCCACCTAGAAGTCCGTCTTTTTTTTTTAAAGTGAGTAACTGTTTTAATACAATAGCTTCACTACTGTACTTTACTTTAAAACCTTACAGCATCATACATATCACTTAACTAAATTGTATATTTATGAGTTAATACAGTTTGTTTTAAGTTTTTAGATAAAAATAAATTAAAATGTAAATAATAAAATAAATAAAAAGTTCGCTATTTAAAGTATTAGTCAAGATTATAATTAAAGCTAAAAAAAAACAGCTACTCGTTTAACAATTCAGAAAAGCATTTTACATAAATCTTTCTTAAAGTTGCAAAATATTGAAAAACTTATTGTATTCGATGACTTTCTCTACAAGTTTTTAGACTCTGTTGTCTTTAAATCTTTAGGTTTCAAATTTTCAGTTTTTTCTTTGTCTTTTAATTATTTTTTGTTTACCTCTTTTTGCGAATTTTTTTTCTCATGTACCATCTGCACAAATTTTTATGTGTCATTCTTTAAAGGACGATTTCAGGTTCTTAAAACTAAAAATCTCCTGACTGAAATGTGTCAAATATCCGATTAATTGGCTATATTCCTCAAAAACCAATTATAACTTAAAAATTGCCTTCTTTAGCAGGATGTGACCCCCTCCCCCTCCCTGTAGAATCGCCCCTGCATTTTGCAACTATTCAAATATTTCATACAAAAATATCTAAACTAAAACTTTATCTGTTTTTATAAAAAATTTTACATATCCTAAATAACTTTGGTAGTTTACATATCCTAAATAACTTTGGTACATTAAGTATGTATAAAATAACAATGTAGAAAATAACAATGACAATTTTAAGTAAAATCCCCAAAAAAGCATATAAATAAGTAAAAAATGTTAACTAGTAATAACTATTATTGCTTAAGATAGTAACATAAGTAATATTATTAAACAAGTAAGTGAGTTGTCAAATGTTTAACTAAGTAGTAAGTTGTAATAAGTAAGCAAAATAAGCACATTTGTCGCAATTTTTTAAATTTCAAACTGTTTATTGTTCTACTAAGAAAAGCAGTCTGATTTGAAAACATTGCAAAAGACATTGCAAAAGACATTACAAAAAACATTGTAAAAGACATTGCAAAAGAAGAAGAAACTATAAGACTATTATTAAGCAAAATATTTTTAAAAATAAAATAAAAAATTCAGTTTTGTAAATGATACATAAAACTGATCTTTATTAGTTACAAATTGTACAACAATTATATATAAATACAATTATATATTACAATTATATATCTATATTTTAATTATATATCTATATTTTAACAATTATATATAAACAATTATATATCTATATTTTAAGTAATGATAATTTTTATAAACTATATATATATATATATATATATATATATATATATATATATATATATATATATATATATATATATATATATATATATACAACTTATGTTATAAACTAATTGCTTAAATTTTATTCAAGTGTCTACAATTTGACTTTTATTGTTGCCAGTTAAACAATTCATTACTATAAATCTTGATTACTGTATTTTCTTGGATAAAAAAAAAAAAACTTCCACAAGGTTAACTATAGTCACGTCATTATAGCTTTGGTAATGTCCATAGTGATGTCATGTCTTTGGAAGTGTGCAATGGATGACTATGGTAATGTCCATAGAGTGCAATGGATGGCTATGGTAATATTATTAAGGTCCTGGTTATGTATTTCAAGTTATACTTATAAAATACCTTTACAAGTAGCAGTCTGATTTCTAAGCACAGGAGCGCTCCTTCTTCTGTTATTCTCTGATTCTTTTGCAACTAAATAAAGATTTCAAAACATATAAAACAAAGAATATAAAAGAAAAAAAACTTTTTATTTTTTGTATTTTATTTTGTGAGTTTAAACAAAAAAAAGTTTAAAATAATCAAATATTAATTCAAGAATTTAAAATAATTATATAATAAAAATTTATTTTTATAAACAAAAAATTATTATATTTATAAAAATAAAAGTAAAAACATAAATGTGATTTGCAAATTAAAAAACTGCACTGTGCACTATTTTTTTAATCAATCAACCACTAAACCCCACTTTTTTAACCAATCAACCACTAAACCTAATTAATATTGACAAATAAATTTCCAAAAAACATTACTTGAAACATCTCAAGTTCTTTTTGCCTAAAAGTTCTTTGTCTATCTGTTACTAGTCAGTCTACTAAACATTACAGGATTGCCTTTGTCATAAAACTAAACTAAAACATCTGGTTGGTATTTAAATGTCAATCTGTTTGTCAAATTCTTTATGAGTTGTTTAATAAGCTTGGGGTGGGTGGGAAAATTTTCCAAAAATTATTAAATGTTTCTTCCCCCCCCCCCTTTTTTTTATTAAGAACTCGAAAGTACATATTCTTTATTATATTTTAATGACTTGTAATGATGCATTGAATGCATTTAATAATATGCTGAAATCAAACTGTAGTGTTTTAGGTGTATTACAGCTACTTTTTTTTTTTTTTTTCATCATGTTTGATTTATTGGTCTCATTCTGTTAGGGCATTCCACAGATGAAGAAAATTTAATGATGTTAGTACTAATATAATAATGTAAACATGAAAAACTTTTTAGTTTTAAAAGTTATTAAGAAATAAATGCATCAAACGCAAGTGCCATATTTCTAGCAATATACACGTTTAATATTCATTGTATTGAAACATGTTCAATGAAAAATAAAAAACAATAAATAAAAGCCTAAAAAAGACAATTTAATTTTAATTTAATTTTCAATTTTATAAATCTTAATTTAAAATTGATTAGCATTACAAATTAATTGCACAATTTTATCTATTGTTAAATAATGAGTAAAGGTTAGCTAAGAACGAAGGAAAAAGAACTGATTATTTATCATGATGAATTTGGTGAGAATGCGTTCAAAAAATTTTGTATACGCAGACGCAATAGCAATTGGATGATAGTCATTGGAAGATAGCAGGTTTAAGATTTTTGGAATTGGTGTTATGTTCGCTGATTTCCATTGATCAGGAAAGTAACTGTTTTCTATGAAGTGGTTAAATAGGATATAGAGTGATGAGGAAATTTCTAAGAGAGCAGATTTGAGTAAAATTGGGGAGAGATCATCAGGTCCTGATGATCCTGTCTTTAGTTTGCTGAGTTGTATGAGAATGTTACTAATGGTAAAGATGGGGGAAATAGGTCTGCTTGACGGTTGATGAAGAACAAGAGGTTAGGTTAATTTACATGATAATATTTATAATATCTTCAACAAATCAAAAAGAATCATCTAATAAAGTAACAATATAATGATGACTTGGAATGATGACTTTGAAATGAGTGTTTATGACTGTCCACTCAAAATATTGTTAGCAACAAATTAAAGATAATTCATAACACATTACAAAGGAAAAACTACCAAAAATATATCACATATCACAGCTAAATAATCTGATGTATTTCCTAAATATTGCTCTGATGCATTTCATTTTCATGATATTAACGCCAATAATAACCAACAAAGCAGCAAATTTTGAGGGACCAATGCTTGTTTTTCCAATTTGGATGTATTACACGGCCTGTAACTGAAATTTGTGCCATTTCTTTCTGTGTAACAAATTCATTAGTTTGCTATATGAGTTGATTTTGCTGATCATTTATCAGTTAATCATGGAAAGTTTTGTTTTCAAAACTTTCTATTATTAACAAAACTTTCGGTTTTTATTTTTTTCATTATTATTTTCAATTTTGATAAAACACATTTGTTTTATCTATATACAAACATTTTCTTAACTAAAAATTTGGAAATGAGAAAACTAAAAGTTTGATAACACATATGTGTTATTAAAAAGACTTTCAGCTTACTTAATGTACTTAAATTTATATGAATATACATATTTGTATTATTTATATTCATATACATATTTTTAATTCATTCATATATATTAACTTACATTCATATAAACTCTAAGTTTTACGTACACATTTATATACATATATAAATGCAGCATTAGATACACACTAATAATGTCATACTAAAATGAGCAGCTCAAAGGGCTTTATTACATACATCAACTGACTATCTAAGTGGAACATGCAAGGGACATTACAACATTTTTGAAGTGTGACAGCTTAAACTTCTTCTTCCTGTCAAAAGTAAAGTTTAAGTGTTTATCTTTTTTATCTTAAGATTTCTTTTCTTAGCAGGCTCCACAGTGCAGGATCCCTCAAAATATAAACAACTTTCTCAAAATATAAACAACTTTCTTAAAATACAAACAACTTTCTCAAAATATAAACAACTTTCTCAAAATATAAGCAACTTTCTCAAAATATAAACAACTTTTCCATAACTGCCTTATCTAAACACTGAATGCACTAATGCAATTCTAATGCATCAGAGTAACTTCAGAGGGGTAATTTGCGCACTAATGCAATAATTCTTTACATCAGAGTAACTTCAAAGGCTTAATAAGTCTCTAAAGATTACAATTAGTGTATTAATGAAATCTCATCACAAATGCAGTATATGTATATGACATAATATCATGGGCCTTAAGTAACATGCAACCTTAAAAACTTTGATTACTATAATCGAAATGAATTTGTATAGCTAATTAATTTAGTCAATTTCACAAGTTAATCAAGTTAATTAGTTATTATAATTATTTAATAAAGATTTATTGGTAAAACAATTGTTTTTTATGAAGCATATTAATTTAACTTTAATTGATAGTTGAATTATTGCTTTATTTCTAGTTATAGTAATAATCTATGACTATCTGTAACTGTTTTTTTATTGTAAACCTCTAATAATAAATTTACAGTAACTAAGATGTAGTCTAAGCTATATTTTTTATTTATACATTGATGCTAAAATGTTTAATATAAAATTACACCAATGTGGACTGGAGTGATGGCCAGGGTAAGTTGTTCCCCAGGCCTGATTTTTTTTCCAATAGTTAGATATACATTAGAAACACCATTTATGGTATTTAGAACTTCTGGGGTTGGACAAAGTAAAAAAGTTATTCAAAAATTAAGTTTTTTTAGTCATAAAAATGTTTATAAATTTTTGACAAAAAAAAGCTGAAAATCTGTGAAACTTATAAATTGTATAAACAATTATGGGCGGTTTATATAAAATGTGTGCTGTTTGTCTAACACAGTTTAATAAAGTCATCTAAAACTCAAAAGATTACACCTGCAATTAAAACAATGATTAAAATCTTTGTCTGGAATCAGTAAAATTTAGAGGTAATCACTATCCTAAAATTATGTAACAACACCAATAAGACCTGGGGTTACTGGATGGAAAAGATATTAAAAAAATGTTTTGGTTAATCTTTGTTTTGTAGTCTTTTTTTATTTTTTATTATTACTTTCTAATAATATGTTTTATTGACACACATACATTTTCTTAATTAAAAATATAGTATTAAGAAAACTAAAGGTTTCAGATTAATAGGGTTGCGGGATGTCCGGCTTTTACGAAGGAGAACACAGTAAAAAAAATTAATTTTCACAGGTTTGGCGCAGTATTCTCCTCTGTAAAAGCTGAACGTCTGGCAAACCTACATAATAACATGTATGTATTTAATACATAATACTATTACTAAAAATAATATACTAATAATAATACTATTACTAAAAATAATCGCTTATAATTAATACTTAACTTAACGCTGCTGCTCACCATTCGTGCACCTTTACACGGATTTTTTTACCATACTTGGCCTTTGAGTTTTATCATAAATTGCTTTACTTCTGAACTCGCCTAATGGGGCTCTTTCAAATCTTAATAATCTGTCAGTATCTGCTTAATCAGTAATGAGATCAAAAACTTTGTTTCATCAGCTTAATTAGTGATAAGATCAACAATTTTTATTTGATGACTTCTGTAGTAAAGGATGAACATTATGTTATTATTGAATTAGTAAAGTAACTTTTAAAGTCAGGTGATTTATTTAAATCATGCATTTTAGTCTTTTGTCAATTGTATTTAAATTTATTAATTTATAAAATTAATCTCTAATTTTTAAATTAAAAGACGACTCAAGAAGACGTTGCTCATTTCAAAGGTCAAGAGGTCAAACTCTTGATAAAGTCAGTGTTTAAAACACTTGCATCTCACACGGTCAACTCAATGTTACATGTTAAAGAACAAGATCGTTTAATACCTTATTTAAAAGAAGTTATAAAAATCCGTATAAAAAACCAGATTGTTTGATAGTTTGTTTTTGAAAGTTGTTAAACATTTATTACGAGGTATTTCAAAAAACAAAAATAAGGTTGTATTTGTAAAGTTTCAAATTTATATATTTTTCTTAATTTATATATTTATCTATATATGTGTGTTATTTATATTGTGTTTTATTGTGTATATATGTGTTAAGGTTATATGGGTTTATATTTTGTAAGTGTGTAAATATATGAAATGTTTCAATGTTTGTGGTGTGTTATATGTAATATGTTTATAGTTTGTAAGTGATAATTATGTTGTTTGCATGGTTTCAAATTGTTGTGACTGGGCTTAGTTTACAGCAAGATTGTTGACCTCGCTAGCCAAGTGGTGTACTTTGCTATAATGTGACCTGGCTTTGTTGAGAGCAAAAATATTGTCCTCGCCAGCAGAGTGGTGTATTGTCATAATAAAACACATAAATTAATTCTGTTTGTAATTAGTGTATTTCTAAAATGTGTTGAAAAAATATTGTTTAAAAAATGTGTTTTAATGTTGTTATCCTCTGTTCTTAACAATGTATGCTTTTGACAATAAATAAATTTTGTTAAAAAGCAGGCTTTACTAACAGCTCCTCCTCATTAAAATTTTTAAGAGTTTCAATTTTCTTCATTAAATATGTTGAACTCAAATTTTTTTTATATATATAAAAGTAAGTATACAGCGTGTTGAAGCATAAGTTTTAATAACTTTTGTTAAATTTTTAGGATTTTTTGTATAGAGAATGTTTTCTTTATATTATTATTTTAATGTTTTGTATGTACATCAATATATATATATATATATATATATATATATATATATATATATATATATATATATATATATATATATATATATATATATATATATATATATATATATATATATAGACACACACACACACAATAAAATATATAGAATTAAAATGTCTATACATATATTATATGTATAGACATTTTAATTTTTTTGCCTTAAATTATTGTCCCTTTTTCTTTAGAATATTAAATATCTAAAAATAAAATAAAATAGTAAAAGAAGTTTTAATATTTCCAATATATATAATTTTTTTTATATATATAAAAGTAAGTATACAGCGTGTTGAAGCATAAGTTTTAATAACTTTTGTTAAATTTTTAGGATTTTTTGTATAGAGAATGTTTTCTTTATATTATTATTTTTGTACATCAATATATATATATATATATATATATATATATATATATATATATATATATATATATATATATATATATATATATATATAGACACACACACACACAATAAAATATATAGAATTAAAATGTCTATACATATATTATATGTATAGACATTTTAATTTTTTTGCCTTAAATTATTGTCCCTTTTTCTTTAGAATATTAAATATCTAAAAAAAAAAAAAAAAATAGTAAAAGAAGTTTCAATATTTCCAAGTTTCTTCACTTGAAGCAAATATATGATTGTTTATAGAGGTTCTTTTAGTAGTTTTGTATTTATTTATTGCAAATCTTGCGTTAAATGCCTTTCAAAGTAATGAAAGGGTTTTGTTTATGGATGATTACATTTTATCCTTCCATGCTAGCAGTACCTGCTGAGTTGACAGGCCTTAAATTTTTTTAATTTGCTTTATTTATGAGTTCTTATATGTAAAAAATTTGTTTTTTAAATTACATTTGTTTTTTTTGTTTTTTTTGATTAAATACTTATAATATTTTGTCAATAATTGATAACAACTACCATAAATATATAAACAATACTTAGTTGAAAATATTACATTAATTTATAACTTTAGTTTAAGTTTTTAATAAAACTATGTTATCTTAACACAATGCTATATATGGTAGAATATAATAGATTATAGTATTATGCTCTGTATTATTTGCTTACACTTTATTTTAGATAAGTTTAAAAAAGAAACTTCAACTTTTATTATATTAGGCATCATTTTTACACACTCCTTTGATGCCTAATTATGTCTAATAATTTAAGAAATGAAATTATTAGACTTCGTCAAAATGAAAGAAGGCAGGCTAGGCGAGCTGAGATAAACCGCCGTCGAAATGAAAGAGATGAGCCCAGGCGAGCTGAGATAAATCGTCGTCGAATGGAAAGAGATGAGCCCCGGCGAGCTGAGATAAATCGTCGTCGAATTGAAAGAGATGAGCCCCGGCGAGCTGAAATAAATTGTAATCAAAATGAAAGAAATCAGGCTAGGCGAGAACTTAATAGGTATAATATGCATAGCATAGCAAGAAATAATATTGCTATAGAGAGTAACTACCTCGGAGAATTAAACCATAATTGTCAGTATTGCAGTGCAAAGAAGTTTTTAAATGAAACTCATTTTTTGTGCTGCCATTCAGGAAAAGTTGCATTAGCTCCTCTTTCTCTTTATCCGCCATTGTTGACTGGTTTAATGACAGGAAACCATGTTGATCATGCTGTAAATCAAAATTTTTTTAAACACATAAGGAGTTATAATTCCTCTTTATCTTTTGCTTCCTTCACTGCCGAAATAGCTCCTCCCTCAAATAATGGCCCTTTCTGTTTTAGGGTCTGTGGGCAAATTTTGCATCGTGTTGGAAATTTAAGGCCTGCAGAAGGTTGTCTGCCCAAATATTGTCAGCTGTATATCTATGATCCTAATGCAGCAGTGTCATTCAGAATGGAACAACCTGGTAATGATGGTTGTATACATGAGTTAATGCAACTCTTGCAAACATTAATTAATCAAGAAAACCCATTTGCTCTTGCATTTAAAAACATGGCAGAAGTAGAGGATGAAGAAATCCGCCAAGCAGCTTTAGAAGGTAGACCAACCTCTGTTGTAAGAATGTCTTTGCTTGAAGGTCATGATAGACGTCGATACAATCTTCCTTCCCATGAGGAAGTTGCTATTGTGTTTGTGGGAGATGATGGTGCTCCACCTGCATCCAGGGAAATTGTTATATACCCTCGAGGTCAGCCTTTAAGAACAATTTTGTCTATGTCTGCAAATTTGGATCCTTTGGTATATCCAATATTCTTCCCGAGAGGTGATGCTGGATGGCACAATCAACTAGAGCACAACCCTGACCGTGCAACCCGTGTTAGAAACCATGTTACTTTGTCTCAGTATTATAATTATAGGCTTGCTGTTAGACAAACTTTTAGTCCTATATTCTATGGTAAGAAACTTTTTCAGCAATATGTTGTTGATGCATATGTCAAAGTTGAGGGACAGCGCCTTGCTTTTATTAGAAATAACCAAAACAAACTTAGAAGTGAGCAATATGATGCATTGCATGAAGATTAGCATACTCAATGACCATAAATAAAAGTCAAGGTCAAACTTTTGACAAAGTTGGTATTTATCTCAAAAACCCTTGCTTTTCACATGGTCAACTCTATGTTGCATGTTCAAGAACAAGATCGTTTAATACCTTATTTTTTAAAATTGATGAGCATTCATTACAAGGTATGTCATTTAACAAATGCTACACAAACAATGTTGTATTTACCAATGTACTAAATCTATAAATAATTAATTTTTTACAATTAAACTCCTCATTTCTTATAAATATTTTAACTGTAATTTAAAGTATTTTTGTGTGTTGCTTGATGCAGTAATGTGTGATATTTATTATGTGTTTAAATATGTGTTAAGGTTATATTTTGTAAGTGTTTATGTGTAACTAATGTGTAAATGACTGTTATATGTGAAGTGTATTTTTTATGTTATCTGTTTATAGTTTGTGAGTTGTTATTATGTTGTTTTCATGGTTTCAAAGTGGTGTGACTTGGCTTTGTTTATGGCAAGAGTGTTGTCCTTGCTAGCCAAGCGGTGTACTTTGAATAATGTGACTTGGCTTTGTTTATGGCAAGAGTGTTGTCCTTGCTAGCCAAGTGATGTACAGACATGAAACACATAATAAAATCTGTTTGTAATCACAAAATGTGTACTTATAAGTATGTTATATTTTGTAAGTATTTATGTGTAATTAATGTGTAAATGGCTGTTACATATGAAGTGTATTTTTTGTTATGTTATCTGTTTATAGTTTGTGAGTTGTTATTATGTTGTTTTCATGGTTTCAAAGTGGTGTGACTTGGCTTTGTTTATGGCAAGAGTGTTGTCCTTGCTAGCCAAGCGGTGTACTTTGAATAATGTGACTTGGCTTTGTTTATGGCAAGAGTGTTGTCCTTGCTAGCCAAGCGGCGTACTGACATGAAACACATAATAAAATCTGTTTGTAATCACAAAATGTGTACTTGCAAGTATGTTATGCTGTTAGTAAATAAAGTATTTACAATAAAGTCTGGATAACTTAATAAATCAACTTGAATAAATCAAACTAATTTTAAAATTCCAGTTGAGCGATTGTTTATGGATCATACTACCACTAACTGAAATATTTTCTAATAAGCTAATTGCTGGATCCTTTGGTGGTTTAAGTTATTGAGTCTTTACTGTAAGATTTTGTGCTATTTGTTATTGATGTTTGTGATGTTACTGTTGTGATGTTTTGTGTTGATAGACGACTTGGCTTACCTTCACGTCGGTGTCTATCGTTAAAAATGATTATAGGGTTGTTTCATACTGAAACTGACTATATATAATCATTCACTAAAAGCCAAGCATTCAATTTTTATATTAAACTGTAAGGGTTTATCTTTTTTTGATTATTTTTAGTGTGCTTTTTTTGAAAAGAGTTTATAATCGAAACTTGCAACAAAAAATCTTGAAACCTTTACACAAAACCTATTCACACAAAAAAAACAATCTCAAAGTAAGTTTCTTATTTGATATCGCCTTGGTAACACTTTTGAGTTTTTAAATAAAAGAGTACATTAATGTGTTATGTTTTCAATAATTTTGTTTTATTTTAGTTCGAATGCCTTCTCTTAATGTTGATCGTTTTTTAACATCCAAAGGGAAGTTTTGTTAATCTTTATACCATTTACTAAAAGATATATTATAGGGAAACAAATCAAATTGATTTTATAAAGTACTTCTGATACTTTTTATGTTATATATAATAGATATTGTAAAATTTAAAAAAAAAAAATTATTTTTTTAATTTTATCTCAAGAAAAATGTTTTTTGTTTCTCACACAAATTTGTAAATTTTTTCTCTTTGGAATTATAGTATTTGATGGATACATTGCTCATTTTGCTTTTTTTATATATATCTCCGTTATATATGAATGGAAACCGTTAATACTTTTATTACCATGGTAATTACAGATCTAGATAGTTCCATTCCCATTAAGTATTTTACAAATTTTCGGTACAAATAATAGCTATAGTAGTTTAATAATTTGCTAATTTATAAACATTTAGAAAAATTTGTTGCGAGTTTATTGTAGAAAATTTGCTTTTCAAACAAATAGAGCTAATTTTTGACATAATTAGGATTCGTCACCTGATTCTTTGTCAAATACTTCTCCTTTTTAAATAGGAAAGGTTAAATTTTATAAAAAAGTTTGCCAAAACACTGGGAGAAATGTCACGTAATTGGTAACTATGTTAAATACACTTTTGTTAGGTCCACGTAATTTTCGAATCTGCTCATCACTACGTTAGATGGCGTTATTTCTTTAAAATACCTTAAAAATCTTCAATTCAAAGTTTTTGTTTCGAATCATCAAAATATTGGCATATGATATAAATATACGATTCTAATAAACCAAAAGTATGTGGAAAAATTGCGCATACTTAGGCATCATAAAAACTTAATTCACACCAACCATTTACTTCGATATTTTTTAGTGTATGGCAGAAAAATAAATTACGAATTGTCTTAGATAAATAAAGTTACCGGACCTTTATTACTTAATCCATAAACAATTATTGTTTCATTCGATTTAACACCACAATAAAAAACAAAGCTTTTTCTATTTATTTTCGAAAAACGTTTTACAGGAAACCGAGTTCTTTTGTAGCATTTTAGTTAGAGTTATAAAAAAATCTATAACTCTTATTTTGTTAAGTAAAAAAAAAATCTTATGCTCTTCTAATTTTAGTCACCAATAACAACTATGTTAGGAATAGTAGAAAATGTTATGTGTGGTAGAGAAACTGTTTTAGTGTGGTGTTGTAGGAGTACTGCGGGTCTAAGAAACTTTGTTTTCATCGATAAATTATTCTATTGGTCTATTAAAACAGTATGAAAACTTTCCAGTATTTATATTTGATGTCTTTTTTTCATTTCATTTTATAATTGTAATTTAAGTTTCAAAAAGCAGCAAAAACAACTTGAAAAGAACTATCGCACAATGACTCGCTTAAACACAGGATTCCAATTTCCTGATATACATGGAAATGCTGATACTGCTTTCACTATATTGTCTCTTTGTAATGTGTAACATCATTTTTACTTAGGTTTGCCAAATGACCGGCTTTTACAGAGTAGAATATAGTCCCAAACATATACAGTTCAGTTCTTTTACTGCTTTCTTCTTCATAAAAGCCGGACGTCTTGCAACCCTTGAATTTCCCCTTCTTTTTGTTTGCATAAATTACATAATTCTCTTAATTATAAATACTCCAAATCCGATTTTCGAACAGCGTATTTTAAAATCTAAAGAAATATAAGCGATTAAAGATTACATTTTGCAAGCCAACTGGATGCTTAAACAACTCAAAAGACAGCCACGCGCTCATTATAGCTCTCTTATAGAATCTGAGTGAGTTACTGTTTTGAATATCTAAAATCTTCAAATTAAGTTTTTATGATTTTAAGTTAAATTAGACTTAAGAATATGTGTAAGAATTGAGAATAAATATTTACTTTTTATTTTAGAAATGAACACACAAGAAAATTTAAACGGTATGTATTTATTGCATATGTGTGTTAGTGCTATATGCGCTTATATTAGATATTATATCTATATATCTATATATATCTAATATATGCGTATACAGCACAAACGCTATACTTTATTTAGTACGCATATATAAATATATAAATATAAATAGACAAACAATTTACACTCTTATAAACAGTGTTGGGTTAACTGATAGACAAAATAAGCACTGCTATCATATTTTATTTATTGGAAATAAATAAAAATATCAAGTAATTCTCTTTTTAGACGATGATGGTGACTTTTTTAGAAGTAAGTAAACTATAATTTCTTTAGAAGTAAACAATTTTTATTTATATAAATTGATAGTTTTAAAAAATTTATTTCAAGTATGGAGAAATCAGTAGCATATTTTTTATCAAATATTTGTATACTAATAGTAATTTGATTGTTGGTAATAGTTATATAGTTATATACACGCAGCTATTTAATAGTGAAATTTCATTATTATATGTAAAATTCAAATCTTGAAATAAGAAAAAAATCTTTATGTGTTTTTCAACTAGAAACTTGGAATTTATTTTCTAGACCAGATGTTGTGATTATTATATTTTCTAGACTAGATGTAGTGCTTTATCATATGATATGCTAAATGTATATATTGTATTGTGTGTATATCTTAGATGCGCAGGAGATAGTGGCAGAAGAGACAGAGTCTTTTCTGCCTTATTTGAAAGAATTCTTAGATAATCAAAGTTAGCATTTTCTATTTTTTCTTTTTTATTTCAGTTTTTTCGAAGTTTATGTTACAGTAAATAAATTTATGAACTAATCTTTCATACATTTTGTTTATTTAGAAAATTTAGAAAGTAGAGTTAGTAAGCAAAATTTCATTATATTACTTTTATGTATATTAAATAAAAAATAATGAGGTTGGCTTTAGTAATTTGTTCATCTATTTAGAAAAATTAGAAGATTTACAAAAGTCCATAGGTGAGTAAAATTGCTTTTATGTTTATTATACACCCTAATTATTTATGTACATCTAATATTAAATGCGTTTTTTCAATTTGAGATTAGTTTTGGACTTTGTACTTTTTGGTCAATTTTTTTAGATATCATTTTAAACTACATTTGTAAGTAACTATATTATGTTTTATGTCTCATAAAAGTTTTAATAAATAATATAATGTAATCACTTATATAGTGACAAATCCAACTTCCTCAGTAACGTATGTTGTTGTACTCACTTATACTTGACTTAATTTATGGATTAATTGGTTTTATTGCATTTTTAATTTTCTTTTATTTATCTCTAGCTGCTGCTTCTTCTGTTACAAGTAAGTTGTTATATTCACCTTTACTTGACTTATTACATTGATTGATTGCTTTTATTGTACCTTTTGTTTTTTAATATAGCTACAAATGTGCTTTCCAGTTTAATTAGTTAATGTAATAAGTCAAGTATTAGTGAGTAAAATAAATAAGTTGTTGTGCTCACTTGTACTTAATTTATTACATTATTTGCTTTTATTGTTTTTTTACAGTAGATTTTTTGTAAGTATTACCTTGGTACATAGTTGTATTTATATATAATTTTTTTTTCAGGCTCGAAGTCATGGGAAGAATTCAGAAAGTATCGCTCCCAGCATCCAGGCCCTCTATCTATGAGGGCCTTCCATCGCTGGTGTTTGTATGGGGACGACCATCCCTCCTTTAGATGGAGGGATGGCACCCCATACAACACGGGGAATAGAGCGGATGCTGGGAGGAGAAGACAACGTGGCGCAAAAGTTGTCAATAATTTTTTTACATATTAAAATGTAAAGAAATTGACAACTTTTGAGCCACTTCATTTTTTTTTTTTGTAATATATTTTTGTAAATTTATTTTTGTGTTGTTTTTTATTTTTCCCATGAATGTTAAATGTTATCAAAGTAAATCATTTAAATAAAGACACCTTTATCAACAATGCTCATTAACTAGAAATAAAAGTCACGGTCATACATTTGATAAAGTTAATGTTAATCTCAAAGAGATTTGGTTTTCACACAATCAAATTCTATCTAGCACCTTCCAGAACTAAGAATATAAGTGTGTGGTGTCAGTAGTTTAAAATATGTATAATAAACTCAGAATAACTCAATAACCCTCAACAAAACTATGAACTAATTTTTAAATTCAAGTTGAGCTTTTTTATTTATTAATACCTCCCCTCCCAATAACTCTAATTTTCCTTAAAAAACTAATTTTTTTGTCCTTTGGAGGTGGTTCTGCTATTTAATTAATTGTTGTGATGTTTTATGCAAATAGATTTAGCTCACATTCATGTTGGTCTGTCAGGGTTATGTAAAAATAAAAAAGTAAGTTTCTTATTCGCATTTTTGAGTTTTCAAAAGTATTGATTGCATGACATGTTAATTTGTAATTAATGTGTATGATTATGATTATGCGTTTAAATAACTTTGTTCCATTTTTAGTTCCGTTTCTTATAGCTGACTTGATTATGGCTTACCTAAAGCTTAATATTTATGAAACAATGATTCAATTTAAATTGTATTATAAGTAGCTCTGTTGAATAAATTTTTTTTTTGTAATTTGTACTAAAGGTTATATTTTTATTTTATATCAAGAAAAATATGTTTTTAAGTAAATATCTATATTTTTTTATTTTGGGATTTATTGGTTTAAATGAATATAAAAATCATTTTTGCTTTGTCTTTCATATTTCCTTTTATTATATATGAATAGGAACCATTTATGCTTTAATCACCATTAGCACTCGAAGTTTCCATTTGCATTAAGTATCGATTTTTGGCACACACAACAGGTTTAATAACTTAGGCAGTAAAAACAGCTTGAATGATTTGTTAAGAGTCTTTAAAGAAACGCTTTTACGAAAAGCATTAAATAGATAAAGCTAACTTATTTAAAATAATAAGTCTTTAACCCGTTTTTCTATATCCAAATTTACTTTTTAAATAAATGTTGATGAAAGGGTAAAATATCGTTATAGCCTACGTTAATTTTAAATTCTTTTTAAATTAAAGGAAAGAGTTTTGATACTTATTTAAATAGGGTTAATAAAATATTTTAAATTATACTATATATATTATATTTAAGAAATTATTAAACTAAATTAAATAAGATTTTTAGATGAAACAGTAAAAATAATTGTTTAAAATACGTGCGTGCAAATAATTCCTACAAATACTAAACGTAAAATAACGCTTACAAACACCAAAAGTATGTTTGCAGTGAATAAAGTTAAGTTCAAAGATAAATAGGAAGAAATGTTTAAAACTGTTTCAATGATAACATTTATTTTTAATTACTTTTGTTGTAAGTTGGGATGAAAAAAAAAGTCACTGGAGTATGAACTCCCGGGGTAAGATGACTATAAATGTCTAAGTGTAGCGCGTCTACCAATTAGCCCATAAACGTATTTTCTATTTAAATTTAAGATTATTTATGACGCATAAGAAGTGTAATTAAAAATTCAAAACCAAGTTTGCAACAACTGAGTTTAAATAAAATCTAATTAGATGTGTATATGTTATGAACGTTAACTAAGGCGTACTTTAACGGCGTCACGTGTTGAATGTTTTAGCATTTTTCTAAGTTCGTAGTCTTTTTTACGTTTTTTCTTATTAAAATTTTTATAATCGGCATAATATTAAAATCGTTTGAAGTTTTTAAAAGAACATTTTAACAGAAATGTTTTTGTCATATCAAAAAGTAAGTATAGTTTTTTATATGTACATTTTTAAACGGTTTTAAAAAAATATTGAGGTAAGGAATAAGTATAGAAAAGGTCGGTGTAGAATAGATTTACTAAGACCCTTAGTTTACGTCCGGATAGCTATAGATAAGTATAAAAATGGTCGGTTCGGTAAAGACCCGTATTTTACGGGTCACCCCAGCTAGTATACTAATAATAATACTATTACTAAAAAAAATAACAGTTTTCTCAATGCATGCATAAACTTAAATTTATTCTCACATATATTTGTATGTATATGCAAAGTTTATTGATATACATTTATTTTTGTTGTAAGTATGATATAGACAGAGACATTTAAGTATATTGTATATGTATGCATATGTATAAATATGTATTGTATAAGTTATACATTACACAAATAAACTTATACAATATAGTTAAGTTTTTTAATGTATGTCATACTTAACTGTACATTTAAGTGTGGTGAGATTACATAGAATGAATAGAATAAAGTTAACAGCAACCTTTGTAAGTTTATTGAGCCTCTGAAATTTTAAAGTGTATGATATGTATATATATATAAGAGTGCCTCAGAATGAGAGAATTTTCAAAACAAAAATATGTATCACGTTAAATTTGGTGCAAATATATAAAAAATAGGTTTTATAACATACTGGTCGCTTTCTGACCATTCTAGACCTTCCCTCAAGGCTCATTTTTGTAAAAAAATTGTCAATTTTTTGGTCAAAAATTACTGATTTCTGTGACGTTGAGAGAGGGTCTAATATAAACCAATTTGGCTGAATTTAAAAAAAAGGCCTACACTAGATGTGTTTTGCATTTAAAATCATTAGTATACTTGTTTTTGTTTCATCACCAAGCATTTATTATTGAAATTATCCATAAATTTGCAAAATTTATGACTTTTGTTGTGATATTAAGAAGCATTTGGAGTATACAATTTTTCTGATTTAAAAATATTTTTTGGTTAAAAATTTTGTACTTTGCTTGCTAATTTAATTAGTTATGTATTTGAAGGTAAGTTTCCTTGATACTCTTATATCCCCCTTCGACTGCCATTTCCCAAAATAAAATAAATAACAAACCATTGTACTTCATGTTCTTTCAATAAAGTTTCATATGAATTTATTTTTAAATAAAAAACAGTTAATATGAAGCCACTGCACTGATTTAAAATTTAAAATTTACATTTTTGATTTTGAATTCTAAAATTCAAAATAAAAATTTAAGTAACTGAACAAGTATTGATATGAATTGTCAGAAACACAAGGTTTTGCGCAATAACAGGTTGAAATCTTTTAAAAAGATTTTTCATATTATCTATAAAGTTACACCTGCTATTTCAGGTATGTGTTGCATAGAAATAAAAGTAATGTACAGGCTTGGTCGAGAACCGGGAGCGATCGCTCTCGATTGCTGACCACGTAAATAATATTTAGTTGCGAAAAGCTGGCCAGATATTTTAGTCGTTTTGAGAACATTTTAACAAAAGATTATTTGGACCGATGAGAGACAATTACAAAAAATTTAATATAAAATTAAGCGATGTTTTTTATCTAAAGTAACATCTTACGATTGTTTAAAAAGGAAACAAATATTCTTTATTAAACAAAGTTTGCAAGTTTTAGTTTTATTTAAGCTAAATTATTTTATAAATAAAAAAGCTAATTTTTATTAATACCTATTTTATGTTTCGCGTAGTTTGAAAAGTTTAACATATTTGAAGCAATTCTTCTTAGTAAGATAAACAATTGAAATAATTAAATCATTGAATTACTATAGACATTAAATTAACAAGATAGAAATCAACTAAAAAGGATAAAAATATGACGAGGAAGCAAAACTGCTTCACAATATCACTGATGATGTTTAGTGAGTGGGCTTTTTAATTAGTAATTTAATTAGTAATTAAAGCAGAAAAAAGTGTAACGAGTTTTTAAGAATGGCAAATGAAGCGAAAATAATTAGAGTTAGTAAACCAATATCTAGAAACTTTTTTTTATATCTAATTATTTGCTATATATATTTGTGTTCTGTCGTGACCTCAGGCGCAGTGCTTGTTCATCCGCAAGTTACTTTGTATGCGTTGTTTGTGTTTAGTAACCAGAAATCATGTGTTACATGATTAGTTTTATTAACTTTAACGATTATAACTTTATTGAAAACGCAATTATTTTTGTAAGTCTTTGTTTAAATCATAAAAAATGCTTTAAAAGATACATTACGATAAAAAACAGATCAACAAAATTACATTTACATAAAGAATACATACTTTTTAAATAAAAAATAAGAATGTACAAATAAAATCTATAATTTATAATAAACTTTTAAAATTTTGACAATTTAATTAATATATATTTAAAACATTTATTTTTGTAAACAATTTAAATATATTCTTTAAACAATTTATGCTAGAAATCTGAAAACGTAACAAAACGTGAATAAAATAATTTCTAAAACATTTCAACAAAATGCTCCAAAATTTTATTTCGCTTAGTCAGCGTATTTTTTGAACCAATAGAATTAGTTTGTTCGTTAATTTGGGGGGTTTTTAGTGTTCGCAAATATTCTTTTTATTCTTTTGCACCAAGATGTTTTGATAACATTTAAGTTTTTATGATTCCATGTATGTCCGTAAAACAAAAATTTTTTGTTTCGTAAATAAACTTAAATGTTCTCAAAACGACTAAAAAACCTGGCCAGTTTTTCGCAACTAAATATAATTTCCGTTATCAGTATTCGAGAGCGATCGCTCCCGCTTCCCGACCAAGCCTGATGTACAATTATTGATTTGTTTTTGATGATACTTTTCATTTACCTGAAAAGAAGTCATGGTCATTAAAACACATTTTCATTTCAATATTGACACCAATTCATCAAAATATTACTCTGTAAGACAAATAATGCGCGCTTATTTATACTATTTATATAGTATTGGTAATACTATTTATTAAAAACCTATATGGTTTAGGAACGCAACTTCCAATGGGTATGGATATCTTGCAACACTTTAAATATTGTCAATCAAATTTGCCAAATGGAATTACAAAAATGTTGGATATTCTATATCAACCTCCAAAGTCAAACTTAAAGGTTGACATGTGTCAACTAGTTGAATGTGAATGTATCATGGCGAAAATAAAATATCCATGGATTAAAGCAGGGTTTCCAGTTATTAGCGGCGTAAGTATTCAAAAAAGTTTATAAAATCTTGAGCAAAAATATTCTAATTTATTAAGGAATGTCGAAAGAAACTCAAAACAAGATATTAAAAATCAAATAGAATCTGAAAATTTTTTTAAACATATTTTTTGGATAGGAATTCCAGAACTAAAAGATTTTATTCAAAGTGACAACCTAAGATCTAATGAATCTAAAATCAAAGATTTATAATTCTTAGAAGATCAAGAAGGTCCAAGATTATATAATTTGGGTCCTCCAGACACTAAATATAATAAGAAATTAATTTGATTATGTTTTGGTTGTGAGAATTTGCATTGTGCAAGTTTTATCTTTTTAAATGCTTAGGTAGTTTTGCGTCAGATCTTAATTAAATGATGCTCTCAAGGTAGATAGAACTATTGAGTTACTTTACTAAATGAAGTGAAGCATTAGTATATAAAATTTAACTAATTTTATTTTGCTTTTGGACTTACACTATACTGATTCTCATCCACACATTTAGTTTTTAAATAATACTTTTTATAGTTTGAAAAGTTTATCAAATATGCTTTAACTTTGTGTTTTTGTCACTTTAACAACTTATAACTTATAAATTTATTTTTATATAAAGTAAAACCATTAAATATAAAGAAGTGCAAAAATGCAATGAAAAATGGATCACAGAGTAAAATCTCAAAATTTTACTAAGAAGACGTTAGCATTAATGATGAACTAAGTTCAGATAACTTTTCTGATTATGACTTTAAGCCAGGCGAATGGATAAAAAGAAAAAATAAACCAAGCAGTAAAAAAATTTGGGCCAACATTCCTAAAAATATTTATTGCGGAAATGTCGCTTTAATGGCAACAGTTAACAACATCTCTCCTATGGTTCTGCAGAGAATTACAACGACAGTTATTCAAGCTGCAGGAGTAGACATAAATGCCATCAAATCAAGTCTCTCAACTGCAGCTAGAAGAATGAAAAGAGAAAATAAAGAAATTTCAAATATTGCTAAAAAAGATATTAAAACAAAAGTACGTTTATTTAATTCATTTTGATGGAAAAACTATATTTGAGACAATTAAAGGAAAGAAACTAAAATGCGAGCTACTAGCTGTACTAGTAAATAAATAATGGCAAATCACACTTGTTGGGTGTGCCTTCTTTACCATCCTCTTCAGGAGCCAATCAATATAAAGGAATAATGCAGTTGCTAGATAAATATGGTATTAAATCAAATGTTGGTGGATTGTGCATTGACACAACAGCAACAAATACTGGCGTTACAAAAGGAACTGTTAATAGAATTACCTATGATTTAGGTAAATACATTCCCCAGCTTGCTTGCAGACACCATGTTACAGAGCTTAGAATAAGTCATTTTTAGAAACATGTTACTCTTGAAGAAAAGGTAGGACCAGAAAATCTTCTTTTTTTTTTAATTAAGAAATAAGTTTGACAATCCAGAGTTTCATTACAATCCTGAAAACATATTAAGGCTTGATTGGTATTTAAAGGGTGGTACTGTAGTCCAAAAAAGCAGCAACAGGTGCACTCAAATATTGCAAAAAACACATTAAAAAGAAAAATATTGCTAGGGAAGACAGAAAAGAATTAGCAGAGCTTGTAATTAAATGCTCCATGGTACTTGCAAAGCCCCATACCTTGATATTACAGCTCCACATCAAATGACTCTGTATAAAGATGTTTGCCAAGTAAAAGAAGCTGTAGATAAAGTCATTGACTCGATAATAAAATACTCTTGGTAGTTAGACTCAACTTTGATACCTCTTTCGCTTTTAGATTATAAAGTTCCTGATAAAGATAAAATACTAATTGCCAAATCAATTTTATCTTACAAAATGCCATCTTTAATGGCATCTGATTACAAAATTGAAAATAAGCTGAAAGTGGATAATCAAACCTAGATAGCACAACAGCTAGTAATCCACCAAATTTGGCGGTGTTAGGTAACAAGTTTTCTTATTTTATTTTTTCAGTAAATGAGGTGGATTTTTTTTAACAACTCTAAAATAAGATAAAGAAATAATAACAAAAAAATAAAAATAAAAAAACACCTGCCAAATTTAAAAAGAAATCTTTAAACACAACAAACTTGTTTATCTAAACATTAAAAAAAAAATTTATTCTTTGCATGTAAAAAAAATGATACTATAAAACTATTATTGATAACTTTTTATAATTATTGTCAATTAAATATGTCAAAATTTCTGTTGCTGATAAAAGATAAACAAATTAAGTAAAATATTGTTTTATTTTAATCAATAAATATTGTTACTGCTTTTCAAAAAAAGAAAAAAAGAAATATTTACAAAAAAAATCATCCAATTTAAACCATTCATCAGCACATTTATCAAAAAGTAACTTTCCTGCTCCACTTTTTTTTTTCACTCCTAACAATTAGCAACCAACCACTATTAAATTAGGAGTAACTAGAAAATAAAGATTAATGTAATAAAGCAAGGAAATAGTTGACAGAAAACTTAAAAAGTTGAAAGTTGTATGAGTCAGGAAAACATAAAGATAGGAAAGAGATCCAAAGCAAAATTGCAAGGAAAAAAAACTAGATGAATAAAAGTTTTTAGAGCATGAAAGAAAAAATCTGTCCGCTCATCCAACTTTGCTAAATGACAAATCAAGCAAGAATGAAATTTGGTTAACAGAACCAAATTTCATTCTTGCTTGATTTGTCATTTAGCAATGTTGGATGAACGGTTTAAATATGGTTTCTACTCAAACGAGCTATCATTTAGATAGCTCCTTTGAGTAGAAACCATATTTGTAGAAATTGATGCAACATTGCAACGATGGGATAGTGGCTTAAGCTTGGCAGATAAAGCACGTCCAACTACGTTTACAATATGTTTTTGGACTTTGTCATATGTCAAGAACAATAGCCCTTTACTTGAAGTATTGTTTGTATATGTTTCTTATTTTTTTGTTTGTATAGAAAGTTGTTACAAGAAAAGTCTAACAGTTTTTTTTTTTTAAAGTAGCTTTTTGCATCCATCTTATGGATGAAATTTTTTTATTAAAGACTCAAGACCTTGCTAATTGTAAACCACAATTTGGAACCACAGATGTCATTCTCCAGTAAACAGGAAAACAAGTTTCAGTCAAGCATTTATTATCTTTAAACTTAAATAGTGGTTGATTGTAGCTTTGTTAAAAGTAATTATTATTAAAGTAACTTTGTTTTAAAAAAAATTAACTAATAAACTTATATTACTTTTTACAAAACATTGACAAAAATTTAATTTTATTTGTTTATAGTATTTAACTATTTTATTAGTTATTAAAAATTTGATCAGATCTTTATTGACAACTTTTAAGGTTTTTAGGTTGATAATCTAGATTAATTTTAGGTTAATTTTTTAAATTTAATATCTTTTTTAAAATCTCAGATTTTATTAACAAAATTAATTTTTAATTTAATTTATAAATTGACACAAAATATGCTCAAAAAAAAAATTCAATTAGCTATTCTGCATTTTCTCTAACAAAAGTTTGTAAATCTTTTCATTGTGATTATGGTCAACTCATAAAAATTATTAAAAATATATTTTAAACAATAATGCCTTTATAAGATGCAACAACAAAATTAGCAGTTTTTAATTTCTTAAAATGCGCTTAGTTTTTTTTCCAATTCTGATATGGTAACTAACCCCCAATTGGCTAAGAACTATTTTTTAAATATCTTTAATTGATATCATTAAATATTTTTTAGTGTTATTGGTTATAGATATCATTATTTTCAATTTGCTCTTGTTTATTTCTTTCAATCGTGTTTTTCTAATTCACTCATGTCTATTTCATTCAATCGTGTTTTTCTAATTCACTCATGTCTATTTCTTTCAATCGTGTTTTTCTAATTCACTCGTGTCTATTTCATTCAATCGTGTTTTTCTAATTCACTCATGTCTATTTCTTTCAATCGTGTTTTTCTAATTCACTCATGTTTATTTCATTCAATCGTGTTTTTCTAACTCACTCATGTTTATTTCTTTCAATCGTGTTTTTCTAATTCACTCATGTCTATTTCATTCAATCGTGTTTTTCTAATTCACTCATGTCTATTTCATTCAATCGTGTTTTTCTAATTCACTCATGTCTATTTCATTCAATCGTGTTTTTCTAATTCACTCATGTCTATTTCATTCAATCGTGTTTTTCTAATTCACTCATGTCTATTTCATTCAATCGTATTTTTCTAATTCACTCATGTCTATTTCATTCAATGGTGTTTTTCTAATTCACTCATGTCTATTTCATTCAATCGTGTTTTTCTAATTCACTCATGTCTATTTCATTCAATGGTGTTTTTCTAATTCATTCATGTCTATTTCATTCAATTGTGTTTTTCTAATTCACTCATGTTTATTTTATTCACTTATGTTTATTTTATTCACTTATGTTTATTTCATTAATCATATTTATGACTAATGAAGTGTATGAATGTCTACCATAACTTTGTAATGTTTTTTAAAATACTATTGAAAGTATATATATCCATTAGGGTGTTTCTTATTTTATCAATTTTTTAATTTGATCTTGCACCTAGATTTAAGTTGATCATTTATACAAAGTTTGAGCCGAAACACAAATATTTTTAATAATTGTTAGGTTCCCCACCAGCCTGATTTTAGGGAAAATATGTTGGGTGTTTCAAATGCCTTGCTGAGACTCTTAAT